CTTTTTTTTTTTAACATCTATTTATTTGAAAGTCAGAGTTAGAGAGAGAGAGGGAGAGAGAGAGAGATCTTCCATCCACTGGTTCACTCTCTAGATGGCCACAATGGTTGGGCCTGAGCCAGGCTGAAGCCAGGAACCGGGAGCTTCTTCCAGGTCTCTCACGTAGGGGCGGGGGTTCAAGCACTTCTTCCATTGCTTTCCCAGGTGCATTAGCAGAGAGTTGGATGGGAAGAGGGACAGCCAGGACATGAAAGGGCACCTACATGGGATGCAGCATTGCAGGCAGTGGCTTCACCTCTATGCCACAACGCCGGCCCCTGAGGCAGTGTTCATTTTGACCAGCTGACACAGAACGGGAGGAAGCAGATGAGGCAGCGGCGTTAGTGAACCAGGTGGAAGGAACAAATGTGTGGGGGGAGGGGAGCCTGGCAAACATGAGAGAGGAGGCTGGCGCTGTAGCGTAGCAGGTAAAGCTGCCGCCACCCGTGCCAGCATCCCGTATGGGTGCAAGTTCTAGTCCCTGCTGCTGCACTTCCCATCCAGCTGTCTGCTATGGCCTGGGAAAGCAGTAGAAGATGGCCCAAGTCCTTGGGCCTCTGCACCCACGTGGGAGACCTGGAAGAAGCTCCTTGCTCCTGGCTTCAGATTGGTGCAGCTCAGGCAGTTGCAGCTAACTGGAGAGTGAAATAGTGGATGGAAGACCTCTCTCTCTGCCTCTCCTTTTCTCTCTGTGTAACTCTGACTTTCAAGTAAGTAAATAAATCTTAAAAAAGAGAGTTGGGGGAGGGAGAGGGAGAGGATGCAGTAAAGTGCAGCATGAGACAGGGTTGAGGTGGCGGAGTCAACTTTCAATTAAAAGAATTTTTCTTTCCCTAAGATCCAGGGACCAAGTTAAAAAGCATATTTTCAGGGGCAAAGGAGAGACGTATCTGAAGTTCCTATTGGAATCAGACAATCCTGGCACCAAATACATGCACTCTGACCCGGAGGAAGTTAGAGGCCTCTTCAAACCCCGGTTTCCTCATCTGCAAAACAAGCAACTCACCTGGCAGCTGAAGCGTTGCTGTCCATGTTGCAGCATGCCCCGTGGCTGCTGCACCATCGCTAACACCTGCGATTATTATTACTCGCCCCAGAACAGCAGGAGGCCAGGGCTGCTACAGAGGAAAGCATGGAGAGAATGGATTAGGGCCTGGGGGGAAGTGAGCCACTTCAGGACAATGAGAGCAACGCCACCGGAAGGTGCCTAGAAGGAAGGTCAGCAGAGAGTGCAAGGCCAGCTAGAGTCAGGGGGCAGGAATTCAGGGTGGCCCATTGGTAACTCTGGGACCCGGGCCAGTAGGGGCTCAGCAGCCTGCGAGTGGGACCAGCATTTCCATGGATGTCACAGGAGCACTGCATTGTTGAAGGAAGTAGCTGGTTGTTTTAGTTTTAGGGAAGTTGGTCTTTTGATGGGGTTTGCACAACCCAGTGCCACACCAGTGTTGTGAATCTAGGGTCTCTGTGTTTCTCACACATCAGCGCCAGACCACGTTTCACCAGTGTTTTAGGAGAGCCATGGACTTAACAGACTTTGTCTGCGTGTGTTGGAGGGATCCTAAAGAAGGAAGAACTGATATATGCTAACAGTGGTTTACGAGGGAGACACAACTACAAAAAAATGCCTCTGAGTAGCTACCTTCCCCCTTTGGTTGGTTGTCCCATCTTGACAACATGAGCCATCAGCTGACCTGCAGTCGGAGAACCCTGGAGCCCAGGACTTACATATCCCAGGGCAGTTAGCAGCATCCCTGACTTCTACCGACTAGGTGCCAATGGCAGCCCCACTGCCTCCCCCAGATGTGCCAATCAAAGATGTTGAGTGCCAAATGTCCCGAGGGGTAAATTGCCCCTGATTGCAAATCACTGCCCCAAAGACAATGATAACCCTTGATGAGAAACATACTGGTGTCTGCCATTCACCATTCAGCCCAGCCAGGACTGTCTGCCCCTCCCCCAGCAGGTCTCCAAGGCCCTCTTCCTAATTACCCAATCACCCAGCTGTAGCCCCACCTCATCTGGCAAAGGCAAAAAAAAAAGAAAAAAGAAAATTAAATCTGCAAAAGCAAGAGCTACAGAAATCATTGCTTCACCAGGAGCGCTTCCAGTTTTACAGAGGCTGAAATGCGTACAACTCAGGAAGTGCCAGCCATGAACACTAACGCAAAACTAGGCACACGACACTGTCAGGGCCCCTGGGCACTTTAGAAGAGCCTGAACTGAGGGAGGGCCCCGAATCTCAGCCTTTGTTGGTTTCACCGAGAACCTACTTCTAAACACCATGCAAACCTGATTCTTGGCTCCATTTTCATCTCTTGCCTGAATCTTTTTTCCCCAGAAAACCATATTGAATTCCTCCACAAAGGACATCCAGTCCACTGTGGTTTTCTCTTGTAAACAACTACTCAAGAGACCCTTTTGATTCTTTTCCCCCACAAATTACTGAAGGTGAAACCATGATGCTTTCTGCAAAAGAGGTACCAATTTGACCAGAGAGTATGTCAGAGAAACTGTCTCGATCTTAATTCCCCAGGCTATATGGAAAATGAAATCATTCTACTTATTAAAATAGCCTTTCTTCAAATTCTTGTGACTTACTAAAAATGACCATTAACATTTTCAGTTGGTTCCATTTTGGTTTTGGTCAGAGTTTCTTCTGAGCTCAGTTTCACTGAGAACTTTGGTGACATTTATCCCTCACTTCCTTTTTTTTTTTTTTTTTTTTTCTAGTGCCTTCTGGAACTGAGGCTAAGGGATGTGTTGCTCTTGTTGGCAAAACAATTTCTCTTTTTGGAGAGGACTGAGACCCAGTGCTCCAAATAACAGCAGTTCATCTTGTTTTCCCTCTCAGCACTGTAATACTTACTCTTGTTAATGCTAGGTGTAAGAACCTGTTATGAACATAACATCAACCAGGATTACTTGGGAAGCCAATGATATAGATAAGGTCCTCTCCTCACCCCAAAGAGGCTTACAGCCCACTTGGTATCACATGCATATATGTGTATTAACAACAATAAGAGTGACAATGGTACTAATATATGCGTGTGAGTAAGTACCATGTTCCTATTCTGTTCCAAGTGCTTCACAAACATTAACTCATAAAATACAGGGCACAGGGGCCTGCAATGCGGCACAGCAGGTTAAGCTGCCTCCTGAGACGCCAGCATCCTATAAGAGTACTTACTTGCTCCACTTCCGATCTAGCTCCCTGTAACATCCCTGGGAAGGCAGTGGAAGACGGTCCAATCAATTGGGGCCCTGCCACCCACATGTTAGACCTGAAAAGAGTTCCAGACTCCTGGCCTAGGCCTGGACAAGCTGTGGCCATTGTGATCATTTAGAAGTGAAGTGTATGTGTGTCTCCCTTTGTAATTCTGCCTTGCAAATTAATATTTAAATATATATAGAGAGCACAGTATGCTGTGAAATGATAAAAACCAGTGTTATCAGAGCATCGTCATTAGCGGCTGTTGGGGATAGGCCAGGAAAGCTTGGTGCAGCAGAGGGGATTTGCAGAGCCTTGGGATGGCTTTGCTTCATGCCAGCAGAGGTGCTCCGAGTCACAGTTCCCACCCTGACTTCTTAGCAGCCCTGCTGGGCTCGGGACGCCGTAGTGCAAACACATGGCCCCTTGGCATCCAGAATATTAGAAGCTGAAGGAATCTGAGAAAATGGCTGATGCAGGAAAACTCCCTTCTCTCTGCCCTTCTCCCTGAAGCAGGTCATGAGCGCCCCCTTCGAGAGATGCCCTCCATGCACCCAGAGAAAAGGAACGCTGTTAGTTCTGGAGACCCAGGGCCACAAGCTCGTCGCGGGTTCCCCTGCTCAGCACCCATAGATCCCCCTCCACCCCATTCTCTTTCTCCACCACTGCTCGTTCTTCATAAAGGTAAGCAAAAGCCACACAAGTCTAACAGTTTGAGTTAACGATTTCATTTCCTTACTAGGGCTCCTGCGTGTTGTGTAGCTTCTGTTCCACGTGCATGCTCTTGGTAATGCGTCCTGTTAGGAAAGTCGCCACCAAGAAGTCAGCAGTGCGTGGGCAGGGAAAAGATCCCTCTCCTCCCCTACAACTCCTCATATCATCGCTTGGTATGTGAGGCTAAGGGAAAAAATGCAGCCGTGATAGACTGCTAAAACAAGAACTAAAACGCAAAGATTGCTTTAGGAAGGGAGAGCTATATGGGAGAACAGAGATAAAGATTGTTTGTTAGAATTGGGCTAAAATGTAGGTGTCCTGGCAATGTAAGTACAAATTTCACACCTTCACCTTGAGAGAGAGAGAGAGAGAGATGCCTTCTCTAAACTCTAAGAAAATTGAGAGGGGGGACTCCATCCGAGGGCACAAGATTCTTGGCCACAGGTGCAGAGAGACCTTCCACGTGTCTGTCTCTGCCCTTCCATGATGGCCTCATGTGCCCTTTCAGTGGCCAGCCCAGCGGTGATCCAGGGGTAGCCCTCTCCGGTGCTCTCATTCTAGCCCTGAGCTGGGAGAGAACTAGAGCAGTGCTCTTCCAACGCTGTACCCGGAGTTCTGGGGATGCTACTGCAGGTCATCGGGCAAGGCCTGAGGGTCTGCATCTCTAACAAGCTGGAGCAGCTGAAGCACACAGCAGTTCATCCGAATCAACAGGAGGCCTGGTGAGCACGCAGATGGCTGGGCCCCCACAGAGGTTTTGCTGTAGTAGTACTGGGGTGGGGCTCAGCAGTTTGCATTTCTAACAAGATCCCAGGAGACTTACACTGCCCACCCTGCACTCCCCTCTCACATTTTAAGAACCACTGGCTTAGAACAACTCTCACGAATGCCAGCAGTCATCTTTGCATGAAAGTTGTGGGGGGGGGGGTACAAAATTCAAGCGGATACAAGCAAGATGGGCCTGCTGAGCTGGTACCTTGTGTGCTTCAGTGAGAAGTGATCCATGTACCGTAGATGATGAAGATAAGGAGAGCTAACATTTATTGACATTTTCTCTGTGCAGCAACGTAAGGGTTGAACACACATTATCTCACTTGGTATCGGGCATGGGCAGTAGAGCTGGTATTTGATGTGTCGCTTAGGAGCCAGCCCTGTGTACGTGCAGGGAGAGGGAGTCACATCTCTGGGGCGCTGCTGTGGTCTGCAGAAGTACCTGCATGCAAGGCCGAATCGTCTCTCAGGAAACACCTTTAGATCTGGACAAGCAGTCACTAGAGGCTCAAGTTCTGCTTCACAGAGCCTGCAGGAAGCAAGTGAAAGAACTTGAGGGCAGGTGCTAACAATGATCTGTCTCAACCGCAGAAGTACCTGAATATAGAACACTTTGTCAGGCCCAGCGCGCACCAGCAGCACCTGGAAGGTGGGACCCGTCCCAGATGACATTGGCCTGGGCAGACGTCTTGGCTCTCCAGCCAGCCTGAGACCTCCTGGTACAGGTTTGAGTAGGGGTTAGATGAACAGCAGGCAAAATCCAATCTTACCAAAACACCTATTCTCAGATTGCATTTCTTTTTTTTTTTAAGATTATTTATTTGAAAGACAGAGTTAAAGAGAGAGGTAGAGACAGAGAGAGAGGTCTTCCATCAGCTGGTTCACTCCCCAGATGCCGGAGTGGCGCCGATCTGAAGCCAGGAGCTTCTTCTGGGTCTCCCACGTGGGTGCAGAGGCCCAAGGACTTGGGCCATCATGTACAGCTATCTCAGGCCATAGCAGAGAGCTGGATTGGAAGAGGAGTAGCCGGGACTAGAACTGGCACCCATATGGGATGCTGGTGCTTCAGACCAGGACATTAACCCGCTACGCCACAACACTGGACCCAGATTGGATTTCTTAAGTGTTTGCCAAATTGGTTTCATTCTGCTCTTTAAGAGCAGTAGTTTCCAAATTGCAGCCTGCATGGAATCACCTGGGAGGCTCCTTAAAGCAACTCCTGGGCCTGTCCCTAGGCTAATAGTCAGGTCTAACATAGTCTCAGGTGAGGCTGATACTTCGGGTCCCTGAAGGTACTTGTTTTGCTCTGAAGACCCTAGCTGCAATGTGGAAGAGGCCTGTATTTTTTTTTAAGTTTTCAAGCTTTTTACTTAGTGGGAGAAATGCATAGGAGAAAGAGAAATCCGGATTCATACCGAGCAGTGGGAGCCAGCCATGTGGAGAGCATGCAGGCCAGAAAGCGTTGGGCAGGTGGTTCGAAGGCCACATGAGGCCCGTATTTTATATTTTCTGCGCTTTTTCCACTGGAGCAAAAAATGCAAACAAAAATGAAAATCTTTACATCATTCATAATCCAATGATAGTCACAATAAACAATAAGTATACATATTTATATGCAGATTTTCTTTCAGAAATAATAATGGCTGTGTGAACAGCATTTTTACATCTAGAAAGATATTTATGCATTGTGTTTCAAGTCTCTTATATCAAAATCTATAAAGTGGGTGGACATTTGGTTACAATAATTAAGCTGCAGCTTAGGTAGTCTTCATCTCACATAAAAGTGCCTGCATTTGAGCCCACGCCCCTATCTCCATTCCAGCTTCCTGCTAACGTGCACTCTGAGAGGCAGCAGGTGATAGCACAAGTAGTTTTTTGTCCCTGCCACCAACATGGAAGATCTGGGTTGAGTTCTGAGTTCCTGACTTCAACCTGGCCCAGCCCCAGCTCTTGTGGGCATTTGGCAGATGAAAGGTCTCTCTTTGAAATAAATTAAATTATCTAATTCATTTAATTTTTTTATCTCAAGAGGAAATGCTCACTTTTTTAAAAAAGACTTTATTTATTTGAGAGGAAGAGTTATAGATAGAGGGAGAGACAAAGATCTTCCATCCATGGGTTCACCCCCTAAATGACCTCAATGGCTGGAGCAGAGCTGATCAGAAGCCAGAAACCAGCAGCTTCTTCCAGGTCTTCCACATGGGTGCGGGGCCCAAGCACTTGGGCCATCTTCCACTTCTGTTTATGAAATCAGAATAATAATCAAGGGGCCAGCATTGTGATGGAGCAGGTAAAGCCACTGCCTTCAACGCCAGCATCTCATACGGGCACTGGTTTGAATCTGGGCTGCTTCCTATCCCTGCTAATGGCCTGGGGAAAGCAGTGGAATTTGGCTAGGGTGTTTGAATCCCTGCCACCTTTGTAGCAGACTGGAAGAAGCTCATGGCTTCTAGTTCCTGGCTTCTGCCCTGCCTAGCCCTAGCCACTTGGGCCATCTAGGGAGTGAACCAGCGGATGAAAAAATCTCTCTATATATAACTCTGACTTTCAAATAAATAAATAAACCTTAAAAAAGAATGATCAAGAGACACTGAAGCTTCTCAGTGTTTATCTCTTTCTTCAAGGGGTAACACTGAGACTAGAGTGGCAAGCATTTAGAATCTGCTTGTCTGTCACAGGTATGACAAGAGCTAGAAAGCCAGCCCAAACCACCTGCAGATATGGCACAGTCATCAGATGTGCTTGGATAATGTATGAACTAAAACACTGTATTAAAAGGAAAACAGAAAAGAATTAAAGACAACTGGGCCATTACTGTAAAACACAAAAATACCAATGAAGAGACAAAACCTCCACAAAGGGCCAGGCAAGTGAAAACAATGAAACACTGCAGTGATTGTTCTGAATACTGAACCTGAAACGAAATCCAGGAACTGCTTGTTAAGGGAGCTGGGCTTCAGTCACTGGCCCTGGTGAGAAGCATGCGCTCCCCCTCCCGGCTGTGCTGGGGCGGCCAGTCCTGCTGCCGGCCACCTGCCGTCAGCACAAGGCCTCAAGCTTCCCTCCGCTCCCGGAGAAGCACATCCAGTAGCCTCAGCTGCAGCTCTTCCCTCCTGGAGGCGCAGCACCACCAAAGGAGGAGGGCTGTATTCTCAACCCTGGCCACGCTCCTACACAGGCTCATGCCAAGGCCCCACCCAGAGATTCCAGTTCCATTGGTCTGGGGTGGGGACTAGGCAGGAGTTTTGTTGGTTTTTTTTTTTTTTTTAAAGATTTATTTTTATTTATTTGAAAGACAGCATTAGAGAAAGAGGTAGAGCTAGAGAGAGAGGGGTCTTCATTCCGCTGGTTCACTCCCCAATTGGCTGCAACAGCCAGAGCTGCGCTGATCTGAAGCCAGGAGCCAGGAGCTTCTTCCGGGTCTCCCATGCGAGTGCAGGGGCCCAAGGACCTGAGCCATCTTCTACTGTTTTCCCAGGCCATAGCAGAGAGCTGGATCAGAAATGGAGCAGCCGGTACTCGAACTAGCACCCATACAGGAGGCTGGGGCTTTAACCTACAACGCCAACCCCCAGGGATTTTGTGTTTTAATGGAAGTAAAACACATAGCTAAAAACAGTGCACAAACCATGTGTGCAGCCCACAGAATTATCACAAAATGTTGTCTTCCCCCCATACTTGCATAATTATTGAGATAAAGATACACACAGTTACTAGCAACAAAGGAGCCCTTTTACGGGAGGTTAATAATTTTATTGCATTTAGATAAAGATATTTTCCTATTTAAACAGCAATATTTTTTCTTATCAACAGAAAAACTGTAAAACAACATAGGATACTTTTATAATGGGATGTTAGTCACCTTTAAAAGAAACGAAAAAAAATTTTTTTTTTTGACAGGCAGAGTGGATAGTGAGAGAGAGAGACAGAGAGAAAGGTCTTCCTTTGCCGTTGGTTCACCCTCCAATGGCCGCCATGGCTGGCGCGCTGCAGCCGGCGCATCACGCTGATCCGATGGCAGGAGCCAGGTACTTATCCTGGTCTCCCATGGGGTGCAGGGCCCAAGCACCTGGGCCATCCTCCACTGCACTCCCTGGCCATAGCAGAGAGCTGGCCTGGAAGAGGGGCAACCGGGAAAGAATCCGGCGCCCCGACCGGGACTAGAACCCGGTGTGCCGGCACCGCAAGGTGGAGGATTAGCCTAGTGAGCCGCGGTGCTGGCCGGAACAAAATTCTGAAACATGCTACAACATGGATGAATCTTTACAGTATTATGGTAAGTGAAATAAACCAGAAGGGAGCCTTTCTGATGCCTTCCCCTATATCCATCTTCTCCAAGGGTAAACCCTGTCCTGAATTCTAATACCCTAGGATTTTGTTTTAAGATTTATTTATAGGCCAGCACCGAGGCTCAATAGGCTAATCCTGTCTCTCTCTCACTGTCCACTCTGCCTGTCAAAAAAAAAAAAAAAATTTATTTATTTATTTGCAAGGCAGAGATAAAGAGAGAAGGAGAGAGGGATTTTCTGTCCATTGGTTTACTCCTCAAATGGCTGCAACGGCTGGGGCTGGGCCAGGCTGAAGATGGGAGCTTCTTCCAGGACTCCCATGTGGCTGCAGGGGCTGAAGCACTTGGGCCATCTTCCCATGCTTTCCCAGGCCATCAACAGTGAGCTGGATTGGAACTGGAGCAGCTGGACTCAAACTGGTACCCATATGGGCTGCTGGCACTGGAGGCTTAACCTACTATGCCACAGCACCCGCCCCATACTCTAGGGTTGTATTTTGTTTTATTTGAAAGGCAGACACACACTGAAAGAGAAAGAAAGACACAGAGATGTGCCATCTGCTGGTGCACTCCCAAATGCCCACAACAGTCATGACTGGTCCAGGCTGAAGCCAGGAGCCAAGTCAATATGGGCTTCCCACATGGGTGGCAGGGGTTTAAGGACTTGGGCCACCACCTTCTGGTACCTTCCAGGGTACACATTAGCAAGAAGCTGGATCTGAAGCAGAGGCACCCCAATATGGGATGCTGGTATCACAAGCAGTGACTCAACCTGCCGCACACAATGCCAGCATTTCAAGAGGCACCTGCGGAGCCAGATGTTTATTTCCAGCCCCAGAGTTTCATTATGTTCTCTCTCTTTTTTTTTTTTTTTTGGACAGGCAGAGTGGACAGTGAGAGAGAGACAGAGAGAAAGGTCTTCCTTTGCCGTGGGTTCACCCTCTAATGGCCGCTGCAGCTGGCGTGCTATGGCCGGCGCATGGCGCTGATCCAAAGGCAGGAGCCAGGTGCTTATCCTGGTCTCCTATGGGGTGCAGGGGCCAAGCACTTGGGCCATCCTCCACTGCACTCCCTGGCCACAGCAGAGAGCTGGCCTGGAAGAGGGGCAACCGGGACAGAATCCGGTGCCCCAACCGGGACTAGAACCCGGTGTGCCGGCGCCGCAGGCAGAGGATTAGCTCTTCTTCCATACCCTTGCTAGGTGGCCGTGGGCAAAGGACTCGACTTCTCTGAGTCTCAAGTTCCTCATCAGTAAAATGGAATGCTAAGCTGCATCTCATGTCTGAAGGAATTATCTGGGACCAAATCTAATGCATGTTAAGCATTCAGTGCAATGCAGATATTCTTACTAAGCCAGAGGAGTCCATTAGGTCAGCATCTTCCATGTTTCCTTCTCTACGAGATCTTTCCCATCAGCCTACCAAGTCAGTTATTTCTATCTTAAAAAAATTCCCTCAACCCCACTTCCTCCTCTAATTTGAGTCCCATTTCTCCCTTCCAGTTACAACCAGTGGCTTTCAAAGAACTGTAATCCTTGACTTCAATTCTTCCTCTTCACTCACTTGTAAACCTTTTCGATGAGACTTTCAGCCTCGCCACCCCATTGGCAACAGCTGATCCTCATTCCTTGTCTTGCCAGCTCTATGAGCAGCCAGAGCACGGTGCTCCCTCCTTCTTGCTATGTCTTCTTTCCTCGCCTTCCAAGAGAGACTCCACACTCTCCTAGTTCTCCTATCTCTCTGGCTTGCGCCTGTGTCTTTTTGCTTATTTTTCCTTTTCTCCTTAGCCATAAACAATAGACTGTTACAGAACCCATGCCTTGGACTTCTCTTTTCCATCTACAATTATGTCCTCAAAACTCTCATCATCCCTTGGCTTTAAATACAATGTATTCACTGGAGACCCCCAAAAGTTTATCTCCAGCCTGCCCTCCCCACTGAGGTCCTGTCTTACATATCTCACTACTCGCTCTGCCTTCCCTCTGGGACAGCTAAGGACATCTAGAACATAAATTCCCATAACTGAATTTCTGATCTTTCCCCAAACCTAGACTCCTTAAGGCCCTAATCAGTTCACAGCAACTCTCCTTTTCTAGTTGCTCAGTCATCTTTGATGTGACTGACTTTGATGTTCCATTTGAATCCTTTTCTTCTCATACCCCACAAAGAATCTATTAGCAAGTCTTTTTCACTCTTTTCAAAAGATGCCCAAATCTCACCACTCTTCACCATCGCC